ATTAGCGAAGACCGCTGAGAAAATAGAGATTTATAAGAGCAAATTAGAGAAGACTTGTATTAATGTGAGGGACGCGGAAGGCCTTCCATCGGCCTGGAAGTATATTGTTAAAAAATCTGCCGGAAACTCATAATTTACACTTTAATTTTATTGTATTAGTTGATACTTATATTTAGTAGTATTTCTGAGTTTATTTTTATTTTATTCTTTGTTTTTATTATATTTTTTATTCATTACTAGTATATTATCTTTTTAATCCGTTGTAAGTTTTTTGAAATTTGAATATTTGTATTCAATCTTGTGGAACGAAATCTTCCAATTGTCCGTTTATAACCTGACGATAGCCTATGGAATAGGTCGAAAATGTTTGTTTTAATTAAATTTTCTCGGCAACAATAAAGGTGTTTTGTTATTAATTATTTTGCTGAGCATGTTCTTTTTAATATTTGACCTTAGTTGTTTGTGTATATCCACAAAATTTGTTAATGGAAATGAAACAGAAAAAGCAATGTTTTAATGCTTGAGATGGCAAGTTCTCAAATGCATACTAGTAATTATCTTGCTTTCTATAGCTGCTCCAGTTAGGCTATACAGTATATAGTAGGGCAGGTTAAATGAAGGTTACTTCCTTTTATGAAGGTTTATTTCCATTCTAGAAATTTTCCATGGGATACATGTCATTACAGGTTATCTACCAAAAATTACTGTAATTAAATAATCTAGAGATTTCAAATATGTAATATATAGTGTATTATACATAAATATTTAATGTTTGATATTTAAAATATGACAGTAAAAAGCTGTTTAGAAATTAACTATGCTAAACATAAATTAAATTTTTTACTAGATACTAAACAAATTAAATAGCTTAATTTAGTAATGTTTTTTTAATTACAGTATATTTACTAAATGTTTAGAAACTTGAATGTGTTTGATTATTAAAATGTTCAGAAAATAATGTTTCACTTATGGTTAGTGAGCTAGATTATTAAATGAATTTAATGGTTACTTAAAATTTCTTGTTTGGGTACTTGATGGCTATATACGAAGTTCAAAAACATTTACTTAAAACATCATTGCCGGATTAAAAGATATTATTATATAAACTTAATGATCTTTAATATAAATCTGTTTAAAAGCTTATTTTTCAATTAAAAACTTAATATTACTATTATTACTTTCTTACTGCATAAATTGAAGCAACTTTTAATTCCATTGTACTACTTACGAATTTAAGAATATAATGAAGTGTTTGTATATCTATGTGGGAAGTTTATTTATTCAATATTTTCAGGAGGCTTTTTATAATAATTAAACTATGTCCCAGAACAACCTGTATAGCTTGCTGGGTGAAATGTGAATACTCTGTGTCCAACTATCTTGTTTGCTATACAGGTTGCTATACATTCCACTCAAACTATTCAAATGTGCAAATACTAAAAGCATTTAGAGATGGAAATTAGACCTGTCAGTATGTATTCCATGTAGGGTTTCCATTTCCCAGTCTTTTGCTTGTCCTGGGATTCTGGGATAAAAGTGAACTGTTTCCTGGGATCCCAGGACAGAATTAATTATTTTTAAGATATACAAAATATCATGAAATCAAATGATATAAGTATTTTTCATTTTTTAAAGTAATTTAATACATTCTGCAACCTCCAAAATCATATTAATAATGCTGTGTAAGATATATATTAAAAATTACCTTTGAATTACATAGAAATTTTCACAAATAGAAAAAATTTATTAAAGTTTGTTGGAAACTGAATAGAACAACAACAACAAAAAAATACTTTGAATTGAGTTAAAAATTAAAAAAAAAAGAATTTAGATCTAACTTCTAACTTAAAAGGTAATTTTTGTTTTTTAAATAAAACATATTTATAAAAATTTACAATAATAATTTGAATTAAGATTTTAAAGAGCAAAGATGGTCAATACTCCGATCACTCAATTTGATTGTTATTTTAGTAATGAAAAGTCCTGCTACTGAGAATGCCCTTTCCGATTCAATTGATGTGAGTGGAATTCTGTCTTCTCTTAAATGCCTTAAAGACATGTTGTGTTTTTTCACCTGTAACCTGTAAATGAACTGCCCAATAATTTGGCAGTTCATTTGTCTTTAATAATCAGGTTTATAAAGAAAAACTTCATACTTGCAGACTTCATACTGTTTGTATCCTTGCCCAATTTGCACAACCTGGCATTATTTAGTTATTGAAGCTACTGGGCATGGTTAAAAATTAAGACATCATAAGTACAATTATTCCAGATATTACAGGTTTTGACAAATAAAGAATTTTCAGATTCCTGCCACAAATAAGTTACATATTGATTATTGATCATTTGACATGTCATAACAAGGAAAAATTAAAAAACTAATAAGTAGGTTTAAAATTAATAAATACAAATGTATTTTGACCATTTATGAGTTAATTATACTTTCTATTTGCAAAATTTCCTCAACCTTAACACAAAATAAGAAAAAAGTGAATTTTTAAGAAATTTGCAGGATTTTCCAGGATGAGAAGAATTTCCCGGGTTAAAAAAAAAAAACAATTGGGATCCCATTTGAGAAATCCTAATTCTATGTGAAGGAAGTGTTATATACTGACGATCCAAATAAAACTCAATTTTTCCAGAAATGTGCTATACAATGTTGTTCTGAGGTGTACTTCAATTATTGAAGTATGAAAATAATCATTTTATGTTCAGAAGTATCTAAAAATTTGAATGAATATTTTCAGCTATCTTAATCAGAATTTTTCAAAAAGTTTCTAAATTCTAAACAAAATTCAAAAATTTCTAGAATATTAGCTATACAAGTATATTCAAAACTGTTAAAATTATATGAACATTACATAAGTCTAACAATTTTGAATATATAATATAATCAATATATGAACATTACATAATATACAGAATGTAACTGAACTGTGTGCCAATATTTTAAGAGATATTCTGGAGCTAAAATAAGTCTAAAATCCACTTCACTTCATAGATAGTTTATCAAAAAAGGCACTTTTCAAATTTCCTTGCCAAAATACTAAAATTAGAGTTGTCAATCTTTTTAGGAGAATTTTATTTTTTATGCTTGAACTGATTGAGGTAAGTAAATGTGGTAGAAGTAGACTCTACTGTAATAAATGTAAACAAAGTCTTATCCACTTTAAGATTTTGCAGTATCCATCTACTTTATAGAAAAAGTCATAGTTGAAAAGCAAGAATTTTTTAACATAAATTTACTTTGAATAACATTAAGTTTGTAAAAAGAAAGAAAGTAATAATTTATAAAAGCACCTCAAAATGTCTTCTATTTATGCAGATGCAAAATAAGTAAGTTTTATAATTAATTAGTTATCCTGCATGATATTCAACAATAATTAGTTGAAAATGTGTATAATGTGATGTTACATAAATGTAACAAATTACTTTTATTTTTCTATTATAAAATAAAACTCATTTTTTGATGATATTGATTTAATAGTTTTTACACACTAAATCAGTTTATAATTTTTGTATTTGTATCTGTTTTGTCTAAATTATAGAATATTTTTTTATTAGAACTGCCATAAAGTTATGTATAATTGTATGTTTGTGTTATAGCTGTTTCTTTCTTCATAATTGCCTGGAATTATCTTCAGAATTGTTTGGTTATTGTTATTTGATTCAATGTGTGTATTTAAGTTATAAAAGTAATTTTTTTTCTGTTCAAAAATACTTCAAGTAATTTTTGACAAAGCATTGATTTTCAAATGAATTTTTTATTACATACTTCGATCAACTGTATACAAAAATGTAATTTATAGATTTTAACATAATGAGTTATTTGTGATTGTTGTATACAGTTAACTGATTTTAATTTTAAACCAGTTTAATTCTTATTATAATAATCTTGTAATTATTTTTAGTATATTTTGTTACAAATTTTTGTTTTTATTCATATATTTATACTGTTCAGGATATTCTAATTTTTTATTATTAAAACATCATTTTAGTAAATGGTAATTTTTTCATTTATTACAGAAAAACCTGTCGATGGAAGAAATTAGAAGAAATTGTGACTAAAAAGCATGGCAGCTAAATTAACTTTATCTAAAATCAAAGGTAGTAAACCTAGTTCATCTGTTCCATTGATGTCGTTTCGTTTTCTACCAAATGAAGATGACTTAGAAGAAGTGACTCCTGAGGAACAAGAAAATGAGAAAGAAATAGTAATACCTTTTAAATCATCGAACACATATCCTATTTCACTTAATGAAAAGTACAGTGCAAATAATGAAATATCAAATATTCCACATTCCTTATCAACAGAAAGTAATGATATTTTTAAAGAAAAGTTTTCCACTTCGTTTGGTTCAGAAAATGAATTAACTGATAGATTTGGTGATGGAAATCTGGAAAAGACTGATGTAAAATATAGTTCAAGTTTTCCATCAGAACCAATAAAATTACATTCTGAATCAATGCACAATGTTGTAATGAAAGAAACAAGGGATTCCTCTCCAATGAAGGAATCGGTGAAAGATTATTTAGCAAAATTTGGTAAAAAATCTTCCAGTTTAGAAAATTCTCCTGCAACTGAAACTGATAGCTGGTCTCTATTTAATGAATTAAAAGGAAGAATAACAAAAACATTTGAAGAAAAAATAACTAGAGAATCAAATTATTCTTCAAAATCTTTAGATAAATTATCTAATCAAAAAAGCACAGAACTTGTTTCACCCAGTGAAATGATAATTAGTGAAAAGGATATGAGCTTAGATTTCAGTGAAAAATCTACCTTGTCTCTTGGAAACATCGGAAGTGAAGATAAAACAATGTCGTCAGACTATGTGGATGCTGACAGAAAATCCGTGTCATCAGAAGATCAGTTACCATTATCAATTGATACTGATAGCAAATCTTTCTCTAATTTTAATGAAAATACAGATGATAGTACAGACATGTCCAAGTGTGTTATCCTAACCTCAAATGCTAACCAAAAGAAATCTGTGTCAACTATAGCAGCGAGTGCACAGGCTCTTTTGTCACCCAAACGTACACGACCAAGCATGTCTGTTACATTGTCTTCATTAATGGCAGCTAAAGTTCTGGACTCGGATAGTATTGAGGAAAATAAAAGTGATTTAGATACACCCGAGACAACAGATGTTAAAGAGTCTAAAACACCTGAAGAATTAAATGTTTCTCAAGTATCTAATGAGACTGATTCTCCTATTGATTCTCCTATAGAAAATCCCACTAAAGATAACTTTTTACTAAAAGCCTGTAATAAATATCCATTGTCAAAACAACTTTATGTTACTTGCACAAATCTCTTTGCTTCATGGCAAAATCAAATATTTGGTCTCTTATTTATTTTTATAGTGTGTCTGCGTGCACCAATTCCCCCATTTTTATCGGGATTTATTATAGGCATAATTATATCTATTATTATTGGAAGTATTCTCTGGTGGCTATTTCATCCAATTAATTCTAATGAATCATTAGCCATTCCTGATTATGCCAACTTGCCAAAGCTTACAATTCCATCCTCTCCAGATAAAGATACAGATATTTATAAGGTAATGTTTTAAATATTTCATTTTAAATGTGTGTTTCTGTATTAAATTACAAAATTACATTATTGTTTTTTAAACATTGAACATTAGGTATAACTTTCTCAAAAATAAAATAAATAAGGCTACGTTTTTATGGTGACATGGTGAGCAAAGTGATGAAGCAAGACAAGAACAAACACATATAACATTTGCACATGTTTGTAGTGATATGGACTAACATGAGCTAAGCCCAAGGCTTCAAAAGGGAAGGTGCAAGAAGAAATAAGTTTGATTTCTCTAATCTCCTCATTGCTCATCATACCACTTTCACTGCTGCTTTGCTTATTGCATCACTATAAGCATAGCCTAAAATATCTGCCAAAATATCACTTATGGTAGCTGCTATTTCGTTGTGAATTTGTCTCTTTAATTTGATCAAATCAGTTCGGTAGACTATCATATACAGCTTTCAGGCTAGGTACTTCTTTTATTGGTTTGACAAACCAATAAAAGAAGTACCTAGCCTGAAAGCTGTATATGATAGTCTATCGAACTGATTTGATCGGATTAAAGAGACAAATTCACAATAAAATATCTGCATTGAAAGTTTATATGCTAATTTATTATTATTAACAATGATTAGCTGACAAATTAACACCACGATTGCAACGACACTTTAACTAACTTCGTTTAATGTACCAGTCAAGGTTNTCAAACCAATAAAAGAAGTACCTAGCCTGAAAGCTGTATATGATAGTCTATCGAACTGATTTGATCGGATTAAAGAGACAAATTCACAATAAAATATCTGCATTGAAAGTTTATATGCTAATTTATTATTATTATTTTTATAACATAAGAAGCATATTTCAATATTATTACTGTATATTTTTCAAATTTAGTAAAATCTTGTTTTAACAGATTGCTCGGGCCACCAAAAATTATCTGTTGCTCTGAGAATCTGTTATGGACATCATGATATATATCAGAAACAACGGATTTCTCACACACCCAGGGAGATATCCGTTATTTAATCCACTTCATACAAGAAATACTTACAGTTGAAAGTATTCAGTTCTTGAGATCTCTATTCTTTATTCTATAGAAGCATATATGTTACAAGACCATATATTATTTATATGTGTGTATGATGAAGCTGATGGAAACTGTATTTACTGGAAGTACAAAAAGAGGCAAATTATGTGTGTTCATTAGCACTTCATTTCATGATTTGTTAAAAAACTCATCTATCTTAGATTGTTCTGATGTCACTTTTTTGTCTATTGAATACAACAACCACTTGATATTAGTAATGCTATGTACAGCATGTTTGTTTATGCTGAAACTTGTAAGGAAGGTCTTCACAATTTGGAAAGACTCGATGGTCTTGCTAAATTTTAGCATTTCACTTGGACTAGTGTCAGAATATTCACTAGATGGCTTCTCATTTGCATTGGCCCACTTATTCTCTTCATACAATTCTTCAGTTGTGCCTGTTCCACATGTAAAAAATGCATTATTGAACTCGACAAATTTCTGGAAACACCCAAATATTAACTAAATATTGGAAAAGTTTACAGTAGATGCGATTAAAAAAAAATCCATTATTCTGAATTACTGATCTGCTAAGGAGGTAAAATACATTGATTTAGTGGGACCTGGAAAAAAATTTGTTATTCTGAGAAATCCATTGTTCCACAATCTGTTAAAATAAGATTCTACTGCATATATTGCTCATATATAAGAAAACTTGTTAGAAAATTTTATATTTTTATTAAATTTGTATCAAGAATCAGAAATATGGAAATTCTTCTGCTAGCTGTATATCCCGTCAGTGAGATATATAGATGGAAAGAAAGCAACTTTGGAAATTGGTGGTAGAAATGCAGATGTAAGAGAAAATGAAAAAATGATCAATGGAGATGATCTGAATGGACATGGATACAGGAATGAAGGAATTAATCTATTGTATTGCATTCCTCTTTATATAACAATAATAATCTGGCATCCACTTTAATAACAGTTTTTTTTTAAAATACTGTTATTAAAGTAAACTTAAGTAAACAGATTATTGCTATATTTTTTTAAAGAATCTGTTTTGAAATACTCTATATATAATATATATATATATATAAAAGAAAAAATACATCATAAAAGAGGAAGTAAACACATTGAGTGCAGCATTAACAGTTAATTTTTGCTAGCACTTTAACAAACTTATGTTTGTCATCAGGTAATTGAAAACTTTAAAAATAGAATACAATGTTCTAATGTAAGTGGAACACACATTATTTAAATTAAAATTAAACTGTTATGAACATGCTACAAAGTTGACCTGCTTAGTGTGCGGGTTGCCCAATAAATGGTTAAAGAGTGATATATATGGTGATTATATCTCTGCTATCACATCTTTAATGTGGGTCTATATCCACACATATGCACTTCAAGACATCACATCTAGCGTAATCAAACTTTGTAGAACGTTCATAATGGATTTTTTTCATTTTAATTTAAATAATGTGTGTTCCACGTACATTAGAACATTGTATTATATTTTTAAAATTTCGTTTGCCTGATGATGACAAACATAAGTTCGTTGAAAGCACTAGCGAAAATAAAAAAAACTGTTAACACCACACAGTGTGTCTTTACTTCCTCTTATCTGATATTTGGTGTGAAGATCAAACTATATTGTGATACACCATAAAAATTAATAGTGTTTTTAAAATTTTTAATCTACTCTTTTAAAACTCCTGTGCACAGACCTTATTATGAATGTTAACTGCATTTGTATTTATACTAAATGTCATCATTTTTCAATCTGTTTTTCTTAAAAGTGATTATACTTGCACATATTTAAAATGTTTTTTTTTTTTTTTTCATTTACATATTCTGCAACTGTTGATACCGTGTTTAATTTCAATTCAAATTTTTGTCATCAGGTTATATGAAAATTTAAGCCATTAATACAAAACAATAACACTATTAAATTTTAGTCATTATAATAGTTTATTGTAAACATTGTTCACTATTCATACAAACAAAAGTTAAAATAAATGTTTTGAATGTAAAAAGTGAAAACTTAAAAAATTAAATATAATTAAAAGCCTGCAGTTTAAATAAGTAATGTTATAGAAATGATGATATTCAATGACTTTAAGCTAATAATCTGAAAAACTAATCAGTCTGAGATATCTCCATATAATTTTGAAAGTCTTTAATATAATTAATTATTACTATTAATCTAACAATGTTCTTTGTTTCACTGTTTTGAGAGTAGGTATACAAATTAATTCTTTAAATTGTTATGCAATTAATTTTATATAAAGTAATAACAACATATGGAATAGACAATACAAAATACATTAAAATTTAAACTGCCGTGTATTTTTAAAATTTCTGTTATAAGGTTACCTTTATAGAAGTAGAATTTTTTAAAATTAAATTTTAGAAAATAATATAGTTAAGAAGTGAGAAATTAATAATTACTATAATTTTCTGTGCGTAACCTGTGAATTATCTGTTAAGTCAGTTTGAAAATGAAATGGGTTATGCAACAGTGCAGTGTGGGTTACTGTCAATAATATTTTCATTTGACAGCTTTTTTTCCTTTCACAAAACTTACCAAGAGTGTGTGGAAAAGTGGAAAAAATCTTTTCTCATGCAAAACTGCCATTGCAATTTTTTGGGAACCACCAAAGACCTGTATAGCTGTGCCATTCTTAGTTCTTTCCTGTTTTTTTGTATATCAATCTATGCTTCAGTTGATATTATTAGACATTTCTGCTTAAACTTCTTCTGTTTTAGAAGCTGATAAATTTTTGGTTGGATTTTTTTCCTCTCTACATAAAGATTCTCAGAGAACTATATAGAACAACTGTCAAGTTTATTCAGTATACATCACTAACATTTGATAAAAGCTAAGGTGATTGATTTTTTTTTATTTTCAGATCTGTGCCATTATACAGTATATTATTAACATTAAAATTTTTTGAAGTTACTTTATCATTTATTATTATTACCTGTTTTATTGAGGATATTTGATATATATAATATAGAAATGAAACAACAACAATTTTTGACACTTAATACAGTTTAGATCAGCGATTCCCAACCTGTGGTACGCGTACCCCTAGGGGTACGCGATAGGTTGTTTAGGGGTACAGAAAAAAATTAGTTATTATGGCAGAAAAAGTAATATATTATGTATCACAAACTAATAGTATTAAAAAATTATTAGATAAATAATGTTCCTTGCAACAATCACAACTTTATTATACATTTTTTCTTTTAGTTTTTTTTTCTTTAATTTATAGTTACAATATGTAAAATTAACAATACGGTTACTCACTAAATTTCTTAAATGAGGGGTACAATCTAGAGATATGACATGTCACGGGGTACAATCTAGAGATATGGCATGTCACGGGGTACGCTAATGAAAAAAGGTTGGGAACCACTGGTTTAGATGGTTCTGTCTCAAATATTCCTATTTTTTCCATTTCTATTATCATATCTACAGTGAATTGCTAATAAAAATATGAGGAAAAATTCAATGTTTTAAATCATGTCACTTAATTTGCAACTCCTTCATTTTTTACTTCCATGCAGTTCAGAGGATAATTTTTTTCAGTGGCATTTTAAGAGATGTGGGCTATGTAAAATACTTTCAAGACCAAAAGTTTTCCTAGAACATACACAGAATTCCCTAAAATTATTGCACACAAAATAATTTATGAGTGAATTAATAATTATTAATCTACTATGTAGTTTGGAAAATTTAAATTAAATTATACAGGCTTATTGTATAATCTGTTGCCCAATACTAAACATAAATTAATGTAAAAAATTTTTAATTAAAAGAATGATTTAATTTAAACACGTGTCATCATCACAGCATACACATTAAGCATATACCAGTGGTGTGCTGTGACATTTGATGATAGGGAAGCTGTTTTTCCATAAAAATTTTAAACAAATACTGGAAATGACAAAAATAAACAGTTTATTTATTTTAATTCTAAAATAGATAATTGACACAAAACAAAGATATAAAAACTTGTTTTTATTATTTTTTATAAATGAATTCATTAATTAATTACTTTATCATAAAAATCACTTGTTGTCAATTCCATCAAAATATTTAAAAGCTTTTTTTCTATTGAAAGCAATGCTAATGATGACAATTTTTCCTCTGACTTGAGTGTTTCTTGCCAATTTATCAGTTTGCTTCATGGTTGAAAAACTGCACTCAACAGATGCACTCATAGTTGTTACCATAAAAATTAACGATATTAAATCATATAATTCTTTTAGTATGTCTTTGTTTAGATTGTCATTAATTATAATATTTTTTATGTCTAAGAGTGACTTGCCAGTATAGTCTGGACACAAATATAAATATTGCAATTCACTACGTAATTTAGATAAATCAAAAAATTCTTCATAAAATTTAAAATTATTAACATCTAAAAGTGATAAAAATTATAAAGATTTTATGTCTGAAAATCTGTCAATATAATTATAATTAAATATAGCTTTGTAAAGAAATGTACATAAAAATAACATAAAATATTCTTCACTTTTTAAATCTTTAAAACAATGCACTTAGTCAATTAGCTCCCTATGGGTGGTTAATGGATAGAATCATTGCTGTCCCATATTTGACAATATAGCACTTTCATTGGGAACATGCATATATCAATTTATATTCAAATTTTATCAGTTTTTCACATGTATATAAATTTGTAATAAAATAAATAATGTGGTTATAATAAAATATTAATTTTCAGTAATTCAAAGTATGTTAAAATATGAAAATTATTGCACAATTTGTATTTATATTTTAGAAAATACAAGGGAAATGGTGCTTTCACAGCTTTCATGAACAGCACGCCACTGGCATATACAATTATAAATTTGACATACAAGTAATACGTTGATTAATATAAATAAAATTGAAGTCATTGCTGACACTGTGAATGACTTATTTATAACAGTGGAATAATTAAGACTTTTTGATGTAAAAAAAATTGCAAAATTTCTGTATGATGATAATGATTGCACAATCTTTTTCTGAAGAATTATTTAAGAAATGACCCAATTTTTTGCAAAAAAAAAAAAATTTATTTTACAGTTTTTGGCTGACTTTTTCATTATTACTACTATTACTTATTTTTTGAAAAAAATGACCATATTTTTGTTTTTAAAATACATTTCAACATTAATATATTTTTATTTTGTGAAAAAATATGAAAAAGGGAAAAGGATGCTAACTTATAATTAGCTATTTAATTGAGACAATTTGGAAAAAGTTACTAAACACAATTTATTAATTTTCAAATTTTTTGTGACAAATGAGTGAATATTTTAGTTTAATTTGAGCAAACCCATTATTTCACCCATTAAATCAGGTGTGTCCAGCCCGCAGGCCGCATGCAGCCCAAGGCAAGTTCCAATGCAGCCCAATAAACGTGTAAACAAAACTGAAAAATGTTTAAATTTTTTTATTTATTTATTTCAACGGCATATACTCAAAAAGAAGTTTCACAAAGCTGTAAACCTTTATTCATATTTTATTTTTGAGTGGAAAGGAAATATTTTCAAATACTTGGAGATGTGTGAATGAAGAAGGATTACTAAATAAAGCTGGAGATGTGACTCAAATGATTATAGATTTAAATTTGGGGAAAGGAGAGAAAGGCCAAAAGATAAAAAGTAGTGAGAAAGGTTAAATAGATCTTCTGTTATGCAAATATTGATTCTTAATTTTCCAACCTTTCTCACTTCTTTATCTTTTGTCCTTTCTCTTTTTTTCCTCGCATTTGGGTCTTTAAAGATACTTGTATATTGGGCCACAAGTATATATTATACATACTTGTTGCTCAAAACTCCTTGACTTCTTCCAATGCGGCCCAGAGAAACAAAAAGGTTGGACACCCCTGCATTAAATAGTGGTTTGATAAGGGATGCTGACTACCCTTATTGCAATCACACAACCATGTAAGTCAGCAGCAATGTAATGAGTGACTGAACTGATCAGAAACAAAAGTAAACAATGTTTCAATTTTATTTTTAAAACACGTGGTTTTTGTTTTGGCAAGTACTACTAATTAAAGTCTACAGGCTTAGCCAAGACTGCTCCATTTTATTATGTTTTTGCAGATATTGCTGTAATATTAATTTTCTACTGCAAATTTCCTCAGTATTGCTTCAATTTTTTCTGAACCTCATTTGTGCAATTTCTGTTTCATATTCTGGATGTTTCATATTTCTGGGTTATGCAAAAGTTTTAATTTTATTCTATCAATTTTCTATGGATTATACACAGAAAAGTATGGTATTATCATCATCAAAGGAGAAAAATAAATCTCTATCTAAAGTATTTTTAGATATAAACAAACTTTACCTGCAAATTAGTTGAATTGAAATAATTACTCCAGTTGTAAAATGATATGAATAATATAGTTAATAAAAAAATTTCATTAAAATAGAAAAGATTTGAATTATCATCATTACTAATCAACTGTATTTAAAAATGTTTATTTTAATACACATGAAATTAGAGTGGTATAAAATCTAAATTTTCAAATCAAAGCATATTCAAAATTTGAATTCAAGTTTTAGAATTAAAGTTATATTAAAATTTAATATCTTTACCATTGTAAGAATTAGTGTTTTTGTATCCTATTTATATGACACTTATTTATTTTAAAGGGTTGGATGAATGAACTTCCTTTGGAATATAATCCAGATACATATCATGTAAATTGCACACATTCAGTATATGTACGTCTGGATGGCACATCACTTCGTCTCTCTCATCCAAAGAATAATATTCCAAAGAGAGCCATGTGGAATGAAGTCAGACACGATCCAGTTTTCATTCATCAGAGACATTTTAACATTGCTGGTGCCACAGTTTCTTTGTTACCAGAAGGACTTGCTAGAAAAAGGCAAAACAAAATTTTTTTTATTGTTTCTTTTGCAATTTTATATATATATATATATATATATAAAATCTCTATCATATAATATATATATATTGTATTTTTTATTTTATTTATTTTGTAAATTAATATTAAAATATAGAGTAGTATTTTTACTTTCCTGGCTGTTATATATAACAGAGGGAGAGTATGGCAATTTATTTTCAGAAAAGAAAATGATCCCCAAGATTTTTACATCTTTGGACTAGGGAGATCTTGAAACATCAAGAAATGCAAAAGAATTTGGGGGTGATTTCTGTATATATGTATGGATGGATGTTAGTGTGTGGGGGGGCACAATTTTGTTCACTTTCTTTGAAGTTTAACAACTCCTGTGCTTTTTGTCAAAAATTTTACAGGGAGGTTTGTTTAGAGAGTTAATGCTATTAAATTTTAGTGGTTAAAGGTCAAGGGGATGGGGATTGCATGTATATCTAGTAGGGTCATTCTTAATGACAGTTTTACTCATTATTAGCAATGTTGTTCAACCTTCCAGGCATAAAGGGAAAGTTGAGCAACTCATTGCTGGTTTTTATTATTAATTTAAGGGTTTATCATACCAATTTGTAACCACACTTACATGATTTTAAACATTTTATTTCCATTGTCTATTAGAAAAATTAATACACAACTAAAAATCTTATTTTGCTAAGAAAAAAAAAAAGACTGAAATAATTTCTTAAAGAAAATTATCCAAAAAATGAGAGTATTTTTTTTGTCTTGACAGAACATTTGCATACTATGGTGGAGAAACATACAGTATAAACTGCATATATAAAAAGTAAAATTCACATAATGTACCTCACTTCTGTCCTATAAGGCATTTTCAGGCTGACTTTTGATGCAAAAGTTTACAAAAATATCTAATTGAAAAACCTTTGACATTTTTAATCCTGTTTCTCGGTCATTGAGACATCCCGTATGTCTACACACAGTTATTGCTTTTTTGGCTTTGACATAGTGTGAAAAATGCTTATGAAATTTTTACTTTAATGTGTGAACCGAGGGGGTTAGAGCGGTGAGCTTCTCCCCACTTATCGGCTTCATTGTCAGGGATGGCATTGGTTAACTGAGTGGGAGGGATAGTGAAGTCGTGATGCGGTGTCGGTAGTACTCAAAGATGACACAATATTAAAATTAAGAATAACATATTTAATTTATAACAAAAGAAACAAATACATGCAGTTACATTCTAAACTCAAACAAGAAGAAAAATAGCAATAATAATAATAACATATCCGCGTCGTGACAATATTAGACAGTCGATGTCTGTTTTTCCCGATGGTGGGACTGCTGAAGATCCTCAATCCGATAATTTTCTAAGTTCTAATCTAAAACTGAGAGAAAGAAGTGAAATTTTTCTAAGTCTAAACTAAACTGAGATAGAAGTGAATATTTTCTAAGTCCCTGTTAAACCGAGAGAGAGGGAAGTAAAAATTTTCTAAGTCTTTACCTTGTTTGGAGTGGCGATCAGAAACTACGAAGTTCCCAAAGATAAAGAAGACTTGAAGGTTTCGGTCCTGGAGCTTCTTTCCGGCGATCGCCCAGAGGTGCAGGAGCGATCCCCTTTTATACCCGATTAGCGTAGGAAATATCTGGGACTTTTTTGACGTAATTATCTTTTCAGCATATGTTGTTTACTTGAATTTGACATTTCTCCAGATTTATCACCGTCTCCCCCGTCATGGGTGACGAAGTTATGACCATAACCTCATCATCTCATGACCAATTAGCATTAAAGTCGTCATCAGTTGGGGTAGTGACTGGCCATCCTCAGTAACGTGATATAGTTTCTCACAGTATGGTCTACCCTTGCAGGTGACCTTTTCATTCACCCTCTATACAGCAACATATGTTCGTTGTTGCTAATTGGTTATTTACGTGAACATTGCAGTTACCTTATAATCAAGCTATCCCCTGGGGAGAGGGGATATCTTCCTCGGTCATTTATGACGACTTCGCCCGTCTAGGAGGTCACCTTTTGAAATGACACAGTACACATAGGGGTCAAAAGGTCTATTCCCCGGGCAAAGGGGTGAAAACGGGAGAATTAAGGGAAATAATGATGAAAGAAAAAATTTTACACAAATTTAGCACTTAAAACTCTCACAAGAGTCTGATTTCTCACAAATGTATTGGATACATTATGTTCACTGTTGTTGTATGTTTATTTCATTATTTCTCCAACAGATGGCTAAATAATTTCTATAACATAATGCTATTTTTGGTGATAAAATTTAGTTAGATAATTTAAGATCCAAAATATATGTAAACTGTTTTTGATAGTTTTTCTTTCAAACAAATAAAATAATTTCATTTTCAGAAAAGAAAATGTCTAAGAACTAATTTTTCATCAAAATTAATTATATATCAAATAACAGTGATAAAAAAATTGACACTTTTTGGTCAGTCAACCTAAAAAAATTTGACTGAAAAGGGGTTAAAGCTAAGAATCCCATCCTTTATTCAGCTTGATTTAGATTATTGATACTTCAAACACCTCGTACTCAATGACTGATAATGCTTTTTAGATGGGGCTTGCAGTGTGTCATTGCTTGTCACTAATTAACAATATGAAGCAAATAAATTGTAAAAAATTTCAATAATTAAAGAGTTTTATACATACAACAAAGTTTTGCTATCATTTAGTCATAGGTTTGTTCACAGCTTGTTAAGCTTAAAAACACCCTCTTAAATTTGAATGATAGTACTTTCACAGTAAGTAAAAATAAGTAATGTGTTGTTATTGTTAATTTCATTATTATTATTTACATTTTACAAAATTTTAGCAACTGTCAATTTATCATATTATAATTAAATGTTTTATTTTACAGATATTTAGTTTTATCTATGATAAATACTGTTTAGCTTTTAAATTTATTCTATAATAAAATTGATAAATACTTAAAACGACATCAAATGAGTATTAATTAATTAAATACATACAGGGGTTGATCTACATTGGGCCCACAAAAATTGAATTATCATCATAAATTTTTAATACTTTTTCATTAACAATGAACACTTATTGTATAGTAAAAAATAGTTAATATTAATAATATAATAATAATGATAATTTATAGTATTATTTGTATTAACAAAAAATGGGGCCCCATTGGACTTCAATAAACCCTAGTCCCCAAAAACCTAGATCCACTCCTGAATCCACTCATGCCAAAAAGACATATGTATGTCTTTTTGGCATTAATATACATCAATTCTCATGCACATTTATGAGTTTTAAACAGTTCTTAATTGAATTTCATACTTACATGATGATTTTTGAATACCATGTAAGTGCAAAATTCAATTAAGGACTGTTTAAAACTGGGCAATGTATTCATTGAATTTGTTCTTAAAATATGCTCTATTTTACCTTAAGATGGCATTTATTCAATGTTGAAAGTACTTGTGTGCATGAGAATTGATGTATATTAATGCCGAAAAGACAGTACATATATATTTATTATTCTATAAAATATTGTAAAACTCTTTGTATATTAAACTTAATTCTACATTAAACATGTTAAATCAATTACTCTACATAAATAATTAATAATAAATTATTAAATGTTTTATAGTGTGTTTTATAGTTTTTTTAATTTTAAATGTTATCATATTTAAATTTTCAACTATAAATAATTTATATAATTTTGCATATAAAATTAAAAAGTTTTATGTGAAATTATTTGATTAGCTTTTGAATAAAATTCAAGAATTAATTATAAGATTTTTATATAGATTATGGAGTAAGAAGTATCCAATTTGTCTTGAAATTCCAAATTCGCCAAGCCAAGTAATTCATTCTGACGGCAGTGGTTCAAAGGAAACTTCTCCAAGAGATTCCATGAGTTCTTTTTCATCTTTAGAAAGTTTTGATGATACCCCTGACGAGTTGCTTAAAAAAGCAACTAGTACTTCTGGTTCAAATATCATATATTTATTTGCACGCACAAGTAGAGAGAAGGAAGAATGGTATTGGTTATTATATGCTGCAACTAAACAAAAAACAAACTGGTTAAAGTCATCATTATCTGGTCTTCGAAGTGGTAGTATTCCTCCTCCATTAACAAAAGAAAAAAGAACTTACTCTGCTGATTTGGGCACATCTGCAAATATTTCCAGTACTACTGGCTTTACAGATAAGGAAATTACAAAGGATGACAGTTTAGAATTTAATCAATATATGACACAGTTTTTAGACAGAGAAAAATGGTTTTCAACTTTTACTTCTTTTGCTCCAATAGCATATTCAAGAGAAAGAAGACTTACTTCTCCTGATGCAAAAAACAATGTTGTAAAGAGTGATATTAAAGAAAGTATGTTATGGTTAAATGCTCTAATTGGAAGGATATTTTATAATTTTCTGACAGAAAAAGATTGGTCAGATGTAGTGGTTGATCGAATACAGAAAAAATTGGACAAAATTAGGGTAAGAACATATTAATAGTTAAGAATTAGTATATTATATAAATTTAAAATAAAATGAATTTATATATATATATATATAAAACTATATTACATACAAATGTACGAACAAATAAAAAGCTAGTANTTAGTAAAAGTTTGCATTGTGTGTTGAATTTAAAATTCAGCAAAAATATTTTTGTCACAAATCTGAATTTATTTTCACATAAATTTTTGTCTTATGTGCGTCAACCCTCAAACTGTATGTGGTAACTTATTTGTTCTTGTTTCAGTACTTTTGTCAATTGTTTAGATTTTTTGTAAATTGTAGTGTTGGAATCAGAGAATGTGATACTTATGATTAATTCAGACATGGTGTCATAGTAACACCAACTAAAGTCATTAGCATGAAAAATTAAGCACCTGTGTGTCAAAATCTTGTGAGCATCCATGTTCAAATACAAGTGCAGTGTAAATCTCTTTGGTGTCTTTTTTTTCAAAAACTGACAGTGAACAGATTGTGTGTGTTGAATGTGTCAAAAATTCTTGTGTTCTTCTATGGTGCATGCATCCAAACTTATGAAATTTTGTTTGTGTGCACAAAAATTTTTGCCAAATATAATGCATAATGCAAATTTTTACTAATGTAGACTCAGCTTAAGAGAGGCTTTTTTTTTAAATCCATGTTTACTTATCTGAAGTACAGATGCATCTTGGAATCAATGGCATCTTATATTTGCAGTCCAAAACAATAAGCATTATAAGTACACTACATGATACATTATGTACCAATAATAAATGCTTTTAACTATAAGTGTTTTTAGTGGAACATATGAGTTAAGAAAAAAATTTTGCTAAAGATCTAAGGAGAAAAAATTTATTTTACAATAAAAATTTCTACAGTACTGTATTTTATAATAAAACTAAATTTACCTATTTTTGATGTACTATTTTTTCTTTATTATCTAGTTGTAAACTTTATTTATAGTAAATTAATAATTTAAAATGTAGATTAAAAATCATTATTTGTGCCAGTATATATGATAAGTGATCAGTGGACAAGGGCTTTGATTTAAAATATAATGATTGTAATTATCATTACTTTTAACTTTAGCTACTATTGTGAATAACAATGGACTCTTTCTCATGCACTCAGAATATTATTTTTTATTTTAATTTTGCACAAATGACTGATTATTAACAGTGATCTCTTATAATATGTACCAACACATTTACAGATTTAAATTTTTGTTCATAAATAAAGCTATAGTAATTTTTCTTTCAGGTTCCTTATTTTATACAAGAATTAAAATTAACTGACATTAATTTAGGTAAAGCAATTCCTCAGATTCAAAGAGCATCTGATCCAGTCATGGATGATAAAGGCGTCTGGGTAGATTTAGATATAACTTATAATGGATCATTTGAAATGACTTTAGAAACAAAATTAAATCTACTTCGATTGAAAAAAAATCAAAGTGTTGAGATGGGTGAAGTTGGTTTAATGTCTGATAGATGTCTAAGTGAGAAATCAAGGTTAGTTTTTTAATATAATAAATTTAATATTCATAATTTGTCTAAAGAATTTTGAATAATTAAGTTTTAAACATTTTGCTGGAAATGAATTAGATAAAAATAACAATAATGTGATATATTAAATAGATTGTGTTGATAGAATGGTTTGTTTTCAATGTTTCATTTGTTAGAGGAATAAAAGCATTATAAAAGTATTCATATGTAGGTATTATAATATTATGAGTATTTTATGAATAATTATAATTATATGTGTAGCTAGTTTCAAAAAGTTTTCATTTCAATGAGATTGTCTGGATATTTTATGATATCTTATGAACTGGCAGATTAACCAATAGAGGTATTATTTAGATTTCTTGCCATTTTTAAAAAGTGAAGGAAGAGTTATTGAACTGTTCTGAAGTTAATTTTAGTAATTTGAAGAGAGAACTACATTAATAACTGTATTTGTACAAATATCTGTATTAATACAATATAAATAAAGTGTAATATTTTGATACTTTTAAGATTAACATAGGCTGATTTTTATTTGTGATAATGACAAAAATCTTGATGATGATAAATATGAAAGATGATACTTATTTAACTATTAAAGCTTTCACACTCATTAAGACAAATATTTTGGATTATAAACAATTTATATGGTATATATAGAGATAGATAAATAAATAACACTCACGCCAAAATTTTTAGGCATATTATTTTCTATTTTCATTTTAAATTGTAGTACTTATTAGTTCTTGAATGTGTTTAATAAGAATATTTTAATATGTTTATCTAATTGTAGATCTTATATGCTGAATAGTGAAGAAGAAGATAGTGCAGAATCTTCTAGTGATGATGAACTCTATTCGAATGAAATGAGTGAACATGGAAGTTTAATGTAGGTATCTTACATATTTTTATATTCTAAAATAATTTTATTTGAAAAGAAAATTAAATAATATTTAATACTAATTCAAATAATATGCTCACTTGCTACAACTCCAACAAGTAATACATTGGACACTTAAAAATTTAAATGAACTACACTTTATTTAATTTGTGAGTGCCAAGGGGGGGAATTTTTAAAAGCGTAATTAATGATAATATGCAATATATATCATCATCGTCTCCATTGCTGTCTGGACTGCCAAGTGGTAACAATCAATGTCATGTGGAAGCAGTTGAGTCAGATGTAGATGCCTCGTTTACAAACAACACAACCCATTTATTATACACAAAGGATGCTTACAAGATTTCCGCGATCTTGGAAGTTCTATGTCGGCTGTGGCCTCTGGGTCTTCCTCTCCTTTCCAAGATAGTCCCATTTGAAGGAGTGTCCCTTGTTCACAAATGAACAATTCCATCAATGACTCTGGAACAATATGGTTGACTTCCGTTGATGGAAAGATGTCGATCCGAGGTCGGGAGATGGAGACAAAGATGGGCGCAAGACACATGCACAACAATAGATCCGTCACTTGGAACTTTCAGAAGAAGAAGCCACCGCGTCCTTGAATGTCCGGGGTTTTATCCATTTTCCTCCGATTTCATTTTCTGATTGGTCTCTCCTTGTCACCTGATGACAATTCGAAATCTTTCAGAGGTGTGGGAGAGGTCAAAATCAAAGTTTAATTTGATCTCCAACCGGAGCTGGTTGATGGACTTACATTCTTCTATTGTTTAAAAGTTAGCATCGCATTTTCATATAAAAAATCTATTTCTAAACTATTATATTTTTTCTTTAAAACAAAATTATTTTAATGCGAATTTTAATGGGGTTTGGATCTGTCCAGAGCCTCACAAATTCTACACTTTATATACAGGAAAGCAAACAAAAGAACACAAATTCTATTCAGTGTTTTTATTTACATTTAGTTGTATTAACATTTTTGTTTATTGTATAAACAGATGTTATAGTTTATTAGTAAAAAGTGCTGAATGGTATTTTATTTATTCCATTATTCACTTAACTTAAGAAACACATTTAAAAAGTTTTTTGTCAAAATTTCAGAAAAATGCTTGAATAATTATAAAACTATTTAGATCATACTTCAAATGTTTTATAGATATAAATACAAAATGATTGTTAATTATAAGATTTTTTTTATAAGGCAATGTACCAAATATGGATATGTTCCTAATATGATCAAATGGCTGTTTTTCTGTTTTTGATAGTGCATTAGCTAGATCAGAAGTTTGCTGGGGGCTGCCAAATTATGCAAAATTTTCTTCAGAATATAATAAAAAAGAAAATTAATGTATAACTAAATATCATATTAAAAAAGTGAAATAAGAAAGATAAAGTTTTCGTATTTAGTTTTTTTTATTTAACAAATTAGTTGAGGATATTCAGCAGCAGAAATCTCATTAAATTATTTTTGAATATTTTTTGTTTTTTCTATGAATTTTNAGAAAGAATGCTTAATTCACTTTTGATTGTTAAGGAGGGACTAAACATGTATGACCGAAGCCCACACCTTGTACCTATTACAAAGGATTTACTGAAATTAGCTGCCTAAATCAGTCTAGCATAGGGAAAATTGGGGAATTACACTGCGAAATGGCGAATTGCACAGCGGCGTTATTGTGAATTGGCGTAAATTGAGCCGGCGTAAACCGAGGGCTACCTGTATTGCACTCACTTTTTACTCACTTTTTCTGTATTTCAACTCACTTTTCTCACTTTTTCAGAGGGTAAATAGCACTCCCAGGCCTGTATTTGTTTTTTGGACATGTGTACTATAAAATTAAGTTTGTTTATTTTTTTGAATGTTGCAGAGTGTCAAAAATTGTTTTTTTCCTCTTTGTAATTTTAAATCATACAAGTTTTTGAAAATTTTATTAGTCTTATGAGCCTAATAAAATTTTTCTCTTATGAGCCTAATAAAAATAGTCTCTTAGGAACATTTGTTCCTAAGAGATCATTAAGTATTCACATCATTAAATTTTCAGTTCTAATAGTCTAATGTAATTTTATATTTTTGTATCTCATTTGAGTTAAAACAATTATAGTAGAGCATTGTTTATCTGAAACATCAGTTAACCGAAAGCATTCCAATCAGCAAATTTAAATTTTTGCTAGTGCTGTGGTGCTGCAATTTTTGGCTATATCTTGGGCTACTCCAATATTTTTTTTTGTTGGTGTGTGTGTGTGTTTTAACTGGTAGCACTGGCAGATTTGTGTGGTGTTTTTCTGAGGACTGTGTCGTGCTGAATCAAACGTTTTTGCTACTACATTAACTTCTAAAGTATAATTTTTTTTGTTTTTATATTTTTCAATACATTTATTTTGTTTGTAAAAAATAAAAAAATAATTTTTAACGATACAATAGCAACGATTATTATTTTAAAAAGTTTACGTTAGGCTTAACATCAACGGAAATTCAACACAAAGCGACGCGCAACAAAGAAAAATTTCAACACAGGATAGGTTAATATATTTTTTCATACATAATCGGTTATCTGAAAAATAAGTTATCTGAACAACCTCGGTCCCCAATTGATTCGGATAAATGATGCTCTACTGTACCATTTAATCATTTCACAATAACAATTGATTTTACAAAAACAAAAGTTTTCTCTTCTCCTTTAAAAATCTCTAGTCCAATATGGTGTTCCTAATATGTCCACTTGCAGACATTTTAAAATAATGTTTTAGAACACCTAGTTAATATTTTATCTTCAATTTTCTGTTGTATACATTGCACCTAGCAGAGCTTATAAGTAAATTTATAACAATCTGCAAGAAAATAAGTTTGCCAAAATAATGAAAATTCCTTAATGTATCTGTATTTGGCACATTACATGATGTTGTGCATCAAAGAAAAGTTAAAGTCCAGAGGATTTTGATCTTCAATTATGTATTTGTGGCCTTTGATGAATAAAACTTTTTCATAACAAATTGTTTATTTCTTATAAAATTACATATAAATAGATATTTAATATTCAAATTTATATATATATGAAATAAAGGAAAATATTGTGTTAAAAATACACTTATTGTTGCTTTAAAAAAAGCTTTGCATTAGACATATAGTATAATACAGTAGAGCGTCGATTATCTGAATCAATTGGGGACTGGGGTTGTTCGGAAGATTGATGTTTCGGATAATTGATTATGTACGAAAAAATATATTAATTTAATCCATCATGACATTTTTCTCTGTTGCGTATCACTTCACGTTAAATTTTTGTCGATGTTAAGCCTAACGAAGGCTATTGTATCATTAAAAATTATTTTTTTATTTTATACAAACAAAATAAATATATTGAAAAATATAAAAACAATAAAAAATTATACTTCAGAAGTTAATTTAGTATCAAAAACGTAAAATATTTGAGTAGCCCAAGACAGCCAAAGATTGCAGTGCCACAGCACTGGCAAAAATTTAAATTTGCCGACTGGAATTCTTTCGGATGATTGACTTTTGGATAATCGACGCTCTACTGTATATTTATTATAAACAGTTTGATGATTAAATATTATAATTATTATAAAAATATAAATATATAACGTTTCATTAAGAGTAAATGTTATATTTATATTGTAATTTATAATTAAAATGTAGTCATTTAAAATGTTAAGCAAATAGTAAACTCAGTCAATTATAATTCATATCTTATAATTTAATTCAAAAGTAAATAATTATTGATGTATTCTACAGTTTAATTTTATAAATATGATCTTAATACACAAAATATTTTAATTTTTAATATAAATACATTGTAAAGAAAAATCTGTTTTATACATATTAATCATCATGTAAATCTGCAATGAAAGTTGACATAACGTATTTAAAAATAGGAGAAGAATGTGAATATCTTTAGAAAGGAAGTATGAGTTGTTTTATTAATACTTTTAACATATATATTAATTGTGTATTTAATAAACATTAAAATTTCCTGTTGAAATAATAACTTGTTACTTTCATTTCTTTTATTTTTAGTTCAGCAACTGTGTCCCAACATATTACTACCTCAGGAAGTAGTACGAGTAAGAAATTATTACGTTGGGTTGATAAGCTTGCACAATCAAAATGTTTTCAACAGGCTACAGAAAATAAATTTGTAAAAAGAGCTATGGAAGAAGTATCTAATACACCATTATTTCTGACTGTGGAAATCCATGGTCTGATAGGTACTTTAGCAATTAACATTCCTCCTCTGCCAACTGATAGATTATGGTAAGTTTTGAATATTTGGAATTTATATATACAGTAGAACCTAGTTAATTCAAAATGTTCAGGACCAAAATATTGTTTTTTTTTGTTAAAAAATTTTGAATTGCCTAGGTACTCCTTCCAAAAACAAAGTTGCAAGTTCCCACTGTCATTTTCATGCAGCAAAATTCAATATTTGGTGTATAAATGCAGTTGGTAGGCTCATGAACACACTTCAGACTAATTATTAACTAAACCTAATTATTGAATAAAACTAAAATTTCAAATGAAGTAAAAAAATTAACACGTGCATTGATGCAATAGATAATGTTTGTTTTTATACAATAGGAAATCTCATAACCCTAGCTATTTTCTGGGTTCCAAGGAAAAAAAAAAGAAAAAAATACCAAAGAAAATTTCACACAATTATATAATAATTGCAAATATTTATGTAATAAATATACTGAGTATAATATGAGCACATGAGGATATAATAGGGACTGTGTAATGAAGAATCAACTTTTCAATTGTTACATGATCTGTATTTTATTGCTTCTTTACAAAGAAATCATCTAAGATGGATTGCTGCATCACTTTGGTGCATATGGTGTGAATGAAGAGACAGATTAAATTATTATAGGATTGAATGCATATTTTAAATTTAGCAGAAATTATTGTCACAATTCAAAGATGTAGATTAAAGATTTACCTTTGCAAGTAATCAATTAAATCTTAAATCTTTCTTCAGTGATGAAAGGACATCATCTGTAGCATTCAAAATGTTGCTTAAGTAGTGTTTCTACATTTAAAATTGCAGCTAATGCTTTTTTTTAAGAAACTGAAGCATGTCATATCATCTTTATTGTCACTACTGGACAAATATTGTTTCTTGCTAGCTGTTGACATATTATATCTTTGTCAACAGCCATATATCAATTAAAGTTCATTTCAATGCCAAAAGCTTGTGAAGAATATCTCAATCATTATTTTTGTCAGCTGTGTTTGTTACAATTTTCCATTGTTCTGCTTTCATCCAATGGAGCCAGCCTAAGATAAGCAATTTTGTCATTTTGTCAAAGGTCAATTTTGTCATTTTATGTGTTCATATACTTCTACATGGCATCTAAGAATGTTCACATTTCACAAAATTTTTTACCAAGTAGTGCACCAGTAGCTATCGGTAACATCTCTTAAAGGCTTCATTAATTTATTGTTAAATGTAATTTGTTATATTTGGTAGCAAAAACAACACTCAAATATTTGGCAGAGTTGAGACAGCCTTGGTATGCAAAAAGATGTTATCCAGCAAGAGCAAGATGTTTGTTTTGGACTGCCATTTACTCTATAGGACATGTGGCCATTCATAGAACATTTTTGCATTTGCTTCATATTGGCAAGGCAACTGCCACACACTGCATATTGTTTCACTTTTCCAGCATGAATTCCATGCTTTACCAAAGACAAGAAATGGCAGTTTCTCAATTTCATTGGCATTACAAGCAAATAGTACTATGATTCTTTAATTTTTTTGGCACCATGTCTGCCCTCAGTGACTTTGCTTTGATAAATACACTTGACTCATCAGCATTAAAAATGTTCTTTTCACAGTAGTTTTCAAAAATGGGCTACATTCTCCAACCACTCATTCGTTGCCACAGTGTCTATCGAGCCAACCTGCAATATTGTACCATGTGATGTGAAAGCATTCTTTGAACTCCTGTAGCCATCACAGAGCCATCACTGAGCACTTCACAGTTCCTCATCTTAAATTAATTTTGCTTTCCTTTTAACAATGGTCCATAATGAGCACATTATTCTTCACTTTGTGGAACTACAAAATGTTTAAGTAGAAACCACAGTTCTTGTACATGTTCATGTTTGGCTCCAAAAGCTTTACACTGATAGGATAAAACAAAGATTAATATTGAACAGAACCATCTCCTATTTGAATAACAGCCTGAATCTGTCTAGATATTGAATCCACAAGATGTTGGATTGTTGCTGAAGATATCCCAAACCATGTTTTCTCTATGGTCGACAACTCTACTGTAGATATAGGACCTGTCAACAGAGCCATACTGTCTCAGACTCAATATCCTATAGTATGTTCCTATCAGTACACTATGGAAGGCCAGTGTGTACTGATAGTACACTCTTCATACCATTGCCTTTTGAAAATTATAGTCTCTCTACCAATTGGGAGAGTGAATACCCCATCTGCATAACACCAAAATATGTCCATGATCAAATTCAGAAATGTTGTCTTTTCTAACAATCTTGACCATTTTTTTTGAACTATTACAAAGCTGAGATGTATGCTTATTTATATTATCAGAATATGTATATACTCATCATATTGGATGGAGTATCTTCAAAGTATGCTATCTCTAATGTTTTGTTTTTTTGGTTTATAATCATTACGAACAGGTGCTGTGCAACATGTGTACGTGCAGGAGACAACCACACATGTTAATCATTTTCAGTGTAAAAATATTTGACAATACTCACTACTTACTATTTCTTATTTTCAGTTTGTCATAATTTTGATAAAATTTTGCTTTCCACTTATTTTGTTGCATAAAAAATATAATGTTAAGTTTAATGCTGTTCTGATAAGTAGTTTGGGTTATAGGTCAAATTTATGGATATATGCTTATTTTTTGTACATGAATATAATCAGATCCCAAAAATGGAATCTCTTGTTTACTATGTTGAATTTAAGTTTTAAGAAAAGCTGTAACAAAGTTTGATATCCCTTTGATAACAGTTTTGGAGAGGTTTCTCTTCCAAACCACTAAGATATCATCTATGTACCTCTTACTATTTCTGTTACTGTTTCAACCAAAAATGATCCTATTAGAATGTCAGATTTTGTACATAAAAGTTATTATCAAATTAACAAAAAAAAATGCATGATTGATTTGAACTGGCCCATCTCTCAGTATTTATCTTTTATAAGAGAATATCTTATGAATCAGAAGTTTTAAGTTTTTCATGTAGGAATAAAATGCTGGCTCCATTTTTATTGATATGTGTAATTTCTCATTATCATATTCCAACTAAATCATCCAAATCAATGTGTAAATTCTACTAAGTTGAATCTTTCTTATTTGCTGTTAAGACAGGAGAATTTGTAGACCCTCATAGTAGCTGACAGGAAGTACAAAATAAATTTGATATGGTTGTTACCATGGCAACAGTGTTTTATTGTTTTAATCTATTTATACTGTTTGTATCTATTGATGAATAACTTGAAAGTACTGTGTTTTTGATTTAATTGTTCATCTTCAGATATTCTTTCCTTCCCTTCATCCTTCTCACTTCAGCTAAACTCTTCATTCTTCCTTTTCAAGTGCTATGCCTTAGAGTTAGGCCTTCTCTCCTTTGAAAGAATTTACTGTAGATACAAACAATCTAAAAAGATTATCTCGTCTTTATGAAAGTAGTTTTATGTATTTTTGTTTTATTTTAAATTCTATTAAAATAATGTGAAAATAGTAGAGAAAAGTAGTAAATAATTAACTATGTGAATAAAGGTCATTTGTAATGATGTGACAAAATGTGAGGGGGGGATAAAAGGAATTTCAGTTGTGAAAAAAATGCTATTTTTCACAACTGAAAAATAGCATTTCAGTTAGGGCTGATGTTGCCTTCTTGGGGCCCTGAGAAATCTTTATTCTTATTAAACATGTATTTTGGGCATTTATGTCCTGCTGTTCTAAGCTAAAACAAGCATAAACAGTGGAACCTTGCTTAACAAGCACAATTTGTTCCAGAATCTTACTTGTAATGCGAAACACTCATTAAGCGAAACATTTTTTCCCATATAAATTAATGTAAAATACGTTGATGCGTTCTATGCTGAAAAATACTCGAATATTTTATGTATAATGTTTATTCAAAGAGAATGATGTATAATTTTCTTTGAATAAACGTTTCATTGAATAAATGTCGAGCATGATTCCAATGACGTTTGGAACATCATTGGAATCATGCTCTACATTCCAAATTCCATTGTCAAACTTCTAGGCTTACAAGATGGTGGCACTCAACGTTCACATTTTAGAGATGAAAATTTCAGCCACAACCTCTCTATTAGAAATTAATTAATTTGATTAGAGGTAGGCAGTTATGTTGCCATCTCATATTAAATTTAATAATTATAAATAAATAAATTTTTAATTTAGACATTTCTAAAATTTAATTTGTAATTTAATTAAAATTACAAATTAAATTAAAATTAATATTAGATTAAATTAAAATTAATATGAGATGGCAGCATAAGTGCCTACCTCTAGTCAAATTAATTAATTTCTAATATTTAATTATAGCCTTTACATAGCTCAAGAATTTGGAATATCATTTAGCATGTTTATTATATAACATACTATTATTGTTGATGCTTATACATAATATGTATGAACACAAGTTTGGAAAAATGTGTGATCACAAGTGATACTAAGATGCTAATGGAACATGTGCTAAGCACAGACTGATGGAGCATGCACAGAATCCAAGACTTCCCCTCTCCTTGTCACTCGTTATGCGAAACGTTGCTCATTAAACGAGTCACTTTTTTACAATTTGTTTTACTTGTTATGTGAGGTGTTCATTAAGCAAGGCTCCACTGTACTGACATTAGGGATAGAATTGGCATATATTTTATTTATAAAAATACATTTATTATACATTTTATATTTGCATGTTCAGATCCAACGGAACCTTAAGGTTTATTATCATTTTTTTAAGAAATAATTGTTGTATGGCTGATTAGCTACTCAATATATTTTATATGTTGTGATAGAGGTAAATTGTAGATATACTTATTAATTTAAATTGTATATTTTAACTGATTGTATAATATTAACCAGGAAAAATATGCAGTGTAAATCTCTGTTGGGTGCTTGAGCATGTGTTTACAGAAATTTTTTAAAAAATAATCTAAAAATGAGAAATAATAATAAAATAAAAGGTATTTTTATTTACCATTTTAGACTAATGCAGATTATTAAATCTTTTGTTATGGTTGTTGTTGTAGTTGACAGTGCATGTAATTTACTGGATCTGAAATGAATGCTCAAGAGTAGTAAGAATAATGATTCCTCATAATTCCAAGAAGGTAACATGTATTTGAATTTAATGGAAATTAATGGGTTCTTTGAGAACATATAGAAAAGTATTTTAAGTTAGAAAGCTAATTTTCTGTAATATCTGGAATGCTTTAGAAAATGATATTGAAAAGTAAATATTTATAGTTTATTGCATTTATTAATATAATTAAATATTAGCAAATGTTCTTTCAAATACTGTTTTAATAATATAAAAATGAAATACTGTGATTGTACAGTGATACAGTGATTGTCCACTTTAAACAATTAATTTTGTTAATGTGGTATTAACAGTTTTATAGAATTTTATTTAGATCAGTAATTATTCAAAACATTTTGTACAAGGTTGGGCAAAATGTATAGCCATATATAAATGAGGCAGCAAAACAAAACCAATGGATGAATATATTTCAAAATAACATTAGTACATAACAAAAGATAAGCTGTTTGCATATTCATGACCTTCAAAAATCATTTCCTGAATGTTGTCAGGCAGGTTGTCACCATCACAAGCAATGCAATCTTCCAAGTGCTGTACAAAAGCTTGCATTATATGATTCAACATGTCTAAGGGAATATTCTGCATGGCATCACATATACAGATTTTTCAGGTCCACCAAAGTTTGAAGGCATGTAGTTAACACATGATTCTTCAATTACCCTCCACAAAAAGAAGTCTGGGATGGTCAAACCAGGATTCTTATTGGCCAGTGAAGGTCTCCAAATCTGGAAATTATCCCAGTAGGCTGATTTCCAGATTTGGGGACTTGCCACAGGATTGCAGTGGACTGCCAGGCAGTATGGGCTGTTGCTTTGTCTTGTTGGACCAATATTAGTAAGTTTAGGTTAGTCAGTGCCAGAATGAAAAAATCATTTAACATCTTGATGGAGCAGTTGCTGTTAACAGCAATGACATGACTCTGAGTAACCTCCAAGAATTACGGGCTTATGATGCCAAACGACGCAGTCCCACCCACACTGATATGTTTACTATGGAATAGTCTTTCTTGCAGCAGGAGTGGGTTTTCGTTGTCCAATGTCAAAAATTTTACCTGTTTAATCTCGTAGATAGTTCAAAATGGGCCTCATTGGGCATCATGAAATTACTCAAGATCTGTGGGTTAGCTGCTAAAAGTCCTAGGAAATTTGTTGTGAAGGTCCTTTAATGTAATTTGTCCTGTTCTTTCAACTGTTACATGATCTGGATTTTGTAGGAATGAAAGTGCAGGTCAGTGTGGATGTGGCATAGTGAGTGAGTTACATCCCAGATGCCATTGCATGCCTGTTTTCTGATCATCAAGGACTACTGACTAGAGTGTTGCAGGTTTCCTACATATAACGAGGGAGTCCATTGAGTTCTTGCCATCCAATTCTATATTTCTTCATGATATGGTATTCTAGAACCGTGTCACTTACCTCAATATTGTGCAGCGGTCAGGGAGGGACTTAAGCCTGCTGCCCTAGCCCAAAGTGGCAATAGAAGATTTTGCACAGTGATGGTAGACTCATTATTTTTGAAATAAGTCTCTATGATGATTGAAGTTGTGCAGTTGCATATGCAAATGGCATATCTTTGGCTCTGTACTAATGTTGTTTTGAAATATATTCTTCTAGTGGTTATGTTTTGTTTAGTTGAACCATGTATAACAAACAATAAAACCTTTTGATTAAATCCTAGCTAGATTAACTGCTAGATTTTATTATAATAAATATACAGGGTGTTGGTCAAGCTAATGTGAACACTAGTTGACATCATGCTGAATGTTTATTAATGAGATTGGACCACTTTTTGTGTTCAGTGCAGCATTTATCCAACATGAAATAGACAAATAAAGATTATGGATAGTGTCCAGAGAAATGTCCTTGTTCTTCATGAAGAATGGATCAAATTTTGAAAGTGTCTGTGGAGGAGGAAACCTGCTGCATATCTCAGCCTCCAAGATTTCCCGAATGGTTTTATGATACTGAGATTAGGTCATTGTGGAGGCCAAGGAAAGTGTAGAACTTCATTCTGATGTTCATCAATCTATGACTGGACACATTTGGCAGTGTGGATTGGTGTATTATGGCCTTGGCCTCTCCAGTTGGAAACAAAACTTGAACCATGGAGTGGAATTGATTGCTCAAATGTTCAAAGTAATGTTGTGCCATGGTCTTTCCTTTGAGCGTTACAATAGGTCCCAGTGAATGCCAAGATATTGTTAAACATAGCTGCTTTTACACAAGTGTTTACATTATTTTGTTCAACTCTGTATATTCTTGAAAGTATAACTGTATATCTTAATCTTCTTTAATTTATTTAAGGTATGGCTTTCGAAAAAATCCACAATTAAGTATATCTGCTCGTCCAAAATTTGGAGAACGAAAAGTTACACTTTCTCCTGTAACTGATTGGATTAAAAAGAAACTAGTTTTAGAATTTCAGGTAAATGTCTTAATTTATTAAATATAAATTTTTGATATATAGTAGAATTCATTTATTTTCATGGATATTGTTATTAGTTGTTTAATAATATCAGAATTAACACATGCCAGAACATGTGTAAATTAATAATAAATATTCAAATTGTACATTTTTTAATTATTTTAATATAGTAGCAGTCATCAACTATAAAATTCTATAAAAACATGTTTAGTTTTTAAATTAAAATATCATTTTGCTGCAGACCTCAAGAAATCATACATCGTATCATCCTTCTCACTGACTGATAGGTTACTGCAGAAATGTTTCTGGTGATTGTATTGTCCATTGGTATAAAATTTATTCAGAGATACTGCACCTTTATAAGAAAAATGGAAAGTTTTCAACAATTAACACCACACACAAAGTTTTCAATTGCTTTGAATACGGAAGATTTATCCTCTTGAGATGTGCAGTGTGTATTGTCATCAACCAAATCAATTAACAATTGTTTTTAAAATCAATTAAAAACAATTGTTTTTAATTGATTTGGATTTACAAAGGAGATGTGAACATGGCAAAATCCAGGAGATAAATATGTATGACACGCCAGGATAAGATGCAGAAGTGTTTTGACCTGTAAGAACATACTGATAGTTCTTATGAATTAAAAGTAAAGTTGGAAGAGCAGACAGATATAAAAGTGAGTCAAATAGTTTAGGCACATCATATGTTAGAAGCCAATACTGATGAATAAAATTGCAGACAGCAGTTTATACAGGCTAAACAGCATGTAGACTGGAGCATTGACATGTGTGATTCTATTATGTTTTTAGATTAATCCAAATTTAACTGGCACAGATCTGACAACAAATCCATGTTGGGCACAGGAAAGGTGAGGCCTGTAACAGGGATTGCATAATTATTCAGACAGTAGTTCAAATGACAAATTCTTACTGTAGTATTCATTAACAGTATTACTGAGGCTCTGGTGTAAAAATAACACTTACTTAAATTCAATGTAACATTATATGTAATAACTAGTGATGTAACAAATATTTGGTTACTATTTGGTATTTGGCCTATTTTTTGCTATTCGGCCAAATACCGAATATTTAATCACTATTCGGCCAAATACTGAATACCTAAAAACAGGAATAAGAAATAACAAAAACACAGTAAATTAATCATTTCGGTATTTAGATTTAATGTTATTGGGTTAGTGTTGTTTGTTTATATTTATTTATAACTTATAACATGCACAAAATAAAAAAGAAAATAATATTAGTCACATGTATTCACAATTTATAATTACAAAGATCAGCACACGTACACACCTATTCGTTCGAGAATCGTCGCACATCTGACAGTGAGGGTGTGACCCTGCCTATCCTTCTTTTTAAGCGCTCGTCTTTGCTCTTCCCTTTCTCTTTCCTCTATCGCTCTAGTCCAGTTATGCCTATGCATACATCATAATACGCGCTCACTGTACTTTCGATTCGTCACTTTTCCATCGTACATTTCCCATTTTACAATTACATGACTCATAGCCTGGTGATAACGGAGAAAAGAGACAGATAGGACGTCGGTATAAGCTACAGTTATGATTTCACATATTTGAGACAGCTTGGTAGCTCGAACAACCCCAGGCTTTCGCCTGTACACGCTAAGTGACTTTCATTACAAGTATTTAGCTTTCCGAAAGTCTATGACGACAATTGTTTGGCATTGACGGCCGCGAATTTCGCGCCAATAAGCTGCCTCAACTTGTTCAATTATGTTATCAACTCAATTTCATATTTATTTTCACTTCGCGGTCCTTCTCTGTTCTTTTTCCGTTATTTACACGTGTAGGTCATTTCATTGTTATCCACATTTGATATCATCACTTATCATATACTGCCATGACGCTTGTGTCTGTCCACTTCAACTGTCAAGAATTAATGCGATTGGCAAAGCGTAGTGACAGCGGGCCAATAGAGAGCAGGGTCCTTGCCATAATGCGGTTTGCGTGCCAATTTTCGTACGTGCATTAATCAAGCCAAGTAGTTTGGCAGAATATTCGGTTATTCGGCCATGCTCCTGGTCGAATATTCCGTATTCGGCCTGAGTCCGAATATACTATTCATTGCAACACTAGTAATAACTCATAGTTTATAGTTTATTCTTTGTTTTTTTCTCTGTACTATATATTATCATTACAAATTGTGATCATAGCTTAATATGCTACTTTGCACATGTATTATTGAATGCTTTTTGGTGCATATAGGTGATACAATTTTCAAGGCAGCCACTGTATGTATTTAGATAGAATAAGATTTTCCTTTATTTTGATGTCGTTATTATAAGTATTCAAACCTACAACTCTCACTTACTTGGCAGATGCAGAGGTCCAGGTAGCATAACTGACAATGCATCTACACAGTAAATTGTGGGTTTGACTCACACTCTGGGCTGATTCTTTTTTTCCAGAACTTTATTTTGGGTATTTATGGTCTCTGCCATTTATGGTATTTGTGAAATGAATAAAAATCTTATTTAAATAGAAAATAGTTTATATTATTGTAGTTTTCTAGCTTTGTTTACCTAAATTTATCAATTTAGTTTCTTTAATTTTGCTATAAAGTTAATTCTTACTGAAGTATACATACAAACCAAAAAGTGAATTTATTATTTTCTGTATAATTATGACAAATGAAAATTGTATTATTTCTGGATATAATTGCTCTTTTTCAACACAGTTTATATCATTTCAAAAGCTTTCTGATCAGATCTATAATTATCCACCATGTACAACTGTTAGCAACAGTGGTCCAAGGAGAGCATAACTACCAGAAGACCAGGGTCCAGACACTCTCAGGCCACTGGAAAAAGAGAAGATAAACACATGTGCAGGATGCCACTGATGGATCTGAGGGCATCTGCAGTAAAAACTCAAGCATCAAATTAACTGTTAACTAGAGCAGAGGCTCCTGAAGAGTAGTCTCTGCCCTAGTTAAGAATTAATTTATACAATTCATAAAAGAAAATTATCTAAACTTTTGAAATAAGTTCTTAAAATTTAAGTAGTATATTCCATAAATAGGGGAATTAGCATCCAGGCTTCCTGGGGCATGGTTGCAGCACACTTCTGTCCACTGCCAGATGCATCTTCAATGGTGTTGCACAAGAACCTATTGGAGGGTAGAATGGAATTCTGTGATATTCAGATGAGACCCACTTTTGCCTTGGTATCAGTATCTAGTTACATTGATCAGGAGGAAACCTGGAGAATGTCTGTTGGCAAGGAGCATCCATCATCAATATTCCAGTCTGACCCTAGACATTATGATCTAGGGAAGGATTCTGTATGACAACAGAACACCAGTGGTTATCCTAAACATCATTACAGCAAGTGTTTACATCAGAATGGTGATTGAACCTGTTGTTGTACTATTCATGAACAATATTGAGGTAGGCCTATTTCAACAGGACAGTGTCTGTTCCTATACTGCAGTTGCAACCCAACATGCTCTTTGAGATAGCAACGTATTACCCTAGCTGGCAAGATCTCCAGATTTTTCACCAACAGAACATGAATCTGGATCAAGATTCCAACCAGCAATAACTATTGCTGCACCTGTAAGGTCAAATGATGGTCAATGCTTCTAAAATCAGATGCATACACATGTAGATGCTTGCATTCAACATGGTGATAACTACAGTGGATATCGAGATGATGACATTCGACTTTCATGCGGTGCTGCGAGTGCATTTTGTGAGTTATACTCTCAATTCTCATCAATGTAATAAATCATGTAGATAAATATTCTGTGATTTTTCGTTCGCCTAGTATAATTCTTCTTCGATATTGGGATTTCCATTTCTAGCAGTGTATTTGTTCATTTATCTCAGATAGTGAGGAGTAATTTTTTAATAATAATAAATTGAATACTTTGAATAAATTCAAAAATGACTTGTAAGTTTTAATTTTAAATATATTGATACTCTCAAATGATGATTGACTTTTGAAATTCTTTTGAGGCATCACACAAGAAAATATTGTGCATAGTTTATACATATGTGGATAATGCATGGTAATTTAAATTTTATTCAACTTATTAGTAAATATAATAATTTTAAAATTAACTTAGATTTTTTATAGTAATTCTAATATCTACTAAATAATAATAATAATAATAATATACAAACTATATAGCAATTTCTTCATTATTTAAAAAAAAATAATTAATTTGTATGTACTGTATTTCAGAAAATTCTTGTGATGCCTAACATGGATGATTTAATTATACCTATTATGAATGCCAATTTACCATCTTCAAAATCCTGAATTCCTTCGAAAATAATGAAAATTGCCTGCCAGTTTTTGTGTGAACTTTTTTATATAAATATTTTTTTGTCTAAAAAAAAAACATAAGAAGAAAAAATTAAAAGAAGCTCATTTCTGAATTAGAGATGTGATTATTTCTAAATTGATACAAAACAGAATATGGTATTAACAAATTCTGAAATTCAGGGTTGTGATAAAATCGTTCATGTTACGTAACATGTGGCATGGGCTTCCTTTATTGTGATCTTCAAATCAGTTTTTAATTATTATTTTGGGAGTAAATTCTGGTCATTGTAATTATTAAATAATTTCGTTTCGATTAACGTTCTGGCAGAATACAACCAAAACTTGTTTTTTTACAGGAATTTGCTTGTATTCTATCCAAAGGACGAGAAATTAATTTGAATTTTATAATTGTGATATGTTGTGCAAATGTGGAGTGTGTTGTTATGTTTTGAATATATATATATATATAGGTGATACAATTTTCAAGGCAGCCACTGTATGTATTTAGATAGAATAAGATTTTCCTTTATTTTGATGTCGTTATTATAAGTATTCAAACNCCAAAGGACGAGAAATTAATTTGAATTTTATAATTGTGATATGTTGTGCAAATGTGGAGTGTGTTGTTATGTTTTGAATATATATATATATATATTATATATACATACATTATATATATATTTACAAAAATTTATATTGTTAAATAAAAGGAAATGTATTTAATAGGATTATTTATTCCACAGTGTTAATTTAAAATACCAAAGAAGTCATTTGATCTCATTAATTTTAAGATGTAATTCTTTTCTTCCTTCTTTAATAGTGTTAATAAGTTGTTAAATTATTAAATTAATAAAATAACCAATAGTTATTAGAAAGATTTTCACTTTTTTCCTAGTATTAAAGTGCAATTTTTTTTTTAAAGTTCCACAATGATTAGATTTCTGAGAAGAGGAATCAGAAATATTTATATTTTGATGTGTGTTGTACATAAGAAAATCTTAAAATACCATCCAATAATTCATTTAAAAATGTGAATGTTTAATATGGATTTAAGAAAAATCATTTTAAATGTTCAAACTAAAGAGAATTTATAATAGATAAATTGTAAAAAGCCTTAACTTTAAGATAGTATAATAAAATATATTGTTTGTTGATATAATATATATAAATGGCATTAAAAAAAAAATATTGTCATAATGAATAACTGATGCAGAAAAATAGTTATTTTCCATGACAAGTTGATTAATAATAAAAATAAAATGTTGGTTGCTCATTTGTGTATTTTTATGCTTACCAATGAAAACATTTTACTTTAAATATTCAAGATTTTTCGATATTAAATTCGCTTATCTTTAATTATAAATCATATTTAATATATTTGATGATGATAAATCTGTTTAATTTTATTTCTAAATATGTAAATTGCCATTATTGTATTTAATCTTCACGCTGTTTTTTTAATAAATTCTTTACCTGAAATAAAATGGAAACTATTCGAATCTTAGATTAACGAAAATATTCAAATATTTGGGAAGAAATTAATAAATATTTTATAATGAAATTACTATAGAATATTTAGAAGGGAATAATGATTATCGAAGCGCCAGAAATCCATAAATATGCATAGTTTCTTCAGAAAAGAGCGTACTTAACTTTAAAAGAGAGGCGATTTTGCTTTAATTTGAGATCATTTTTATATACATTATTAAGATTTAATTATAGAAACTAATTAATATTATAAGCTGTAAAATTTCTTTAAAGTATTGAAATAAATAAATGATAAACTGCAAAAATTTAAATGTACATTTTCTAATTTCACGTCCACTTTTAACAGTAAAATGTCAATATTTATCAAGAAAATCTTAATAAAATCTCGATGTATTTTATTACGAAAAGGCTGAAAAAACGTTAAAGACAGTTTATCTTAGAATAATCGATAGTTCTTACATCATAAATTGCCTCATTTTACGAACATTTTCCATTAATTAATATCTTAAAATGTTACGTGTTAACAATAACTAATTTTGTTTAACGTTACAATATTTTCTCTTAACAAAATATTAACATTTTAAAATAAAAAATTACTACAAAAATTTTCTATAATTAATGGGGCAAAATGGTGATTATATTAATTAAACTTTTAACGGGGAAAAAACCTTTTTTTTTAAAGGGAAATTTAAAGGAAAAACTTCACTCTTTTAATGTAATTTATATATATATTTTTTTAATATTTAATTTATTACAAATAACGAACGAAGAAATGGCTTAAAAAAATAATTAAAAACAGTGAAAAAACGAGCTCGAGAAGCAATAATTAGTTTTTTTTTTTTTCACTTACAGGAAAAACTCCCAATAAATATCTTTTTTCCTAGAACAAAGTCGATTGATTGTAATGTTAAAATTTCTCTTTAATGCTCTTGACAGTGGCTTCATCTATAATTAAAATACTTTATTAGATTATCTTTTAATACAATGTTAATTTCGGTACGGTAACACATAAATCTGATAGTAATTATGGCATTAAATCAACAGGTGATTTTTAATTATTTAAAAATCTTATATACATTACATTGAATTTAAACTTCAACCTTTGATTGCCATTAAATCTTTTTTTTTTAAGTTTCGTCAAAACAAAAGTTCTTGTTGATGTTTAGAGCAAATTATACTTTTCAAGAATAGAGATCGACGTGCTTACATTATCTCCTGTTTATTGTAAAATATAATTACATCGACTAAATAAATGAATAAACATATCAGATCAAAAAGAACACGCGATTCATGCGTGGATAAATAATATATATTGCAAAAACTTCACTCGATAGTTTGTGGATCCTGTACTACGATTCTGTACGGTTTAGCATTGGATACAAATTTGAGTGGGATGTAAATTGTTTTGGAGGTTTCAGCCGAGTTGGGTCGACTGTCGGATGATTTCGATAACAATTGTGGAACGTCGGAAGGTGGTGGAGGTTTTGTTGTTGTCGGCGTCGTCGTCGTCGTCGTTGTTGTTGTGCTGCTGCTACTGCTGCTAGTGTATATTTCGGTCGGCTTTACACTGGTTGTGGAAGTAGTAGTCGAAGCTGTTTTGTTGTAAAATGAAAAGGGCAATCTGTGAAAGGGTGAAACTAAGGAGAACAGAGGACTGGCAGCTTGCCCTCGGAAAGGAAAACCAAAAAGTGTTTGAACCAAATGAATGGGAGAATTTTTCAATACTTTTGGATCGACCTTCTTATCCTCTTCCTTGCATTCAGTCCGGACGAGGAACAAAAAAAATCCCAACAATAGAACGATAAATAAGAGGGATCTATTTAAAAATATAATATAAAACTATAAGAAAAGATATCTTTTTTTTTTAATTAAATTAAAAAGTAAGACTTTAAGTGTTTAACTCAGTTAAAATTTGTTCGATTTTTCCAAGTAATTGGAGTAAATGTTATATAGTTATTACGGAATTAAGTTTGAAAAAGCTTAACTCACCTTAGATTCATTTCGCCTATTGAAAGGAAAAATATCGACCCGAAAGCAACAGAATCGAAAGAGAAAATATCGTTTCCTCTTTCTTGAGTTTAGAAGTTTTGTCACAGCATTGTAGCTATTGGTTGAATTCGGATTGATTCTATTGTGCCATTGGCCGGATTAGTATACGTCTGTTTCAACCACGAACAATATGGCCGATGTCAAGGTTGATCGTCTGCGACCTCTGACCTAATTGGAATCGAGGGGACTGAATGATGTCATTTATTCGACAGAAACATCAACTATGTCATCAACAAAAATAACAATTATTCCCAGAAAATAGGTAAACAAAAGAAAAAAACGGCGCTACGTAACCAGAAAAAATTTTTAAACGTATATTACGTGAAATCGTGCGTTATTCCGATTTATCGCGAAAACTTACGTTAATGCCGATTAAAAAAAGGGGGAAAAAATAGTATAAATTTAGATACAGAAATAATTTATATTTAAAAAAAATTAAGCTTGAGATCTGTAAATTCGCGATGTTTTTAACTTTAATAAACATAATCCTGTGTGACTAGAATCCTATTCGGATAAACTTGGACAGTGGCAAACAACCGAGAAACTGAAAAGAACTATTGACCATTCTGTATAGAAAAGAATAAAAGCCGAAGAGAAGTTAGAAATACAATCTAATTTCTATAAAAACTTATATAATATATATACATACTAATATTTTATTTAATAAGTTAGTCATCATAGAATAATTTTGGTTACTACAAGAAGGCGAATATTAATTTACATACATTGAATATTAAAATATAGTCGTATATTCGTACAAAAATATTGCAAAATGTAGCAACAGGGAGATAAATTAATATCTTAGACTTTTCCATTTAATTAATAAAATATAAGTGATAATTTTCATTCCTTACTTCAGTCTTCTCTGTACATGATTTTCTGGTTTTAATCATTATTAAAAATAGCTATAAATTATATTATTTTATAAATATTGAAACATTTAAAATATATTCCAGTGGTTGCAGAGAAAAATGCATAGTATTCTTCTAAGTAAATTGAACAATCGTTTCAATTTAACATTAAAGAGTGATCTATTTCTACTACAATGGATCATAATGGATAAAGAATCTCGTATTACAACCGACCGACTATTCAGAATTCGTTACTGTTAATGATTTACGTAAACTATTTTAATTAAAATTAACCTATCGGCATCTTCCACGAGTTTAGGGCTTTCCTCTTCATTTCTATCCATCATCTTACAGTACCAAGATGATTTTAAACCGTAAGTACAGTCTAATAATAATTCGCGATTTTACATAAAATTTTAATCTAAATCTATGCATATTTTGGGACAAAAATTAACTGATAAATTCTAGAAAAAGTATACGAATTATCTCATTAAAAAATGCCATTTAAATTCAGGGAAACGTTTAAATTTAATATAGATTTTTCGTTCGGTAAATCACACGAAAACGATAAACTTGTCGTGTCAGTCGTCGAATTTTCTCATTTAATTAAATATTGGAACTTAAATCAGTGTCCAGAATGAAATCATTATATATGTGTGAATTCTATGTAAATAAGTCCCATTCAACTATTGTTATCGGCAGACTAGGCCACATGTATGAAGAATGGGTCATGTCTCGATAATGGACAATACGTCTGGACAGAAAAGTCTGCTCTTAATCAAATCGAATCAGAACAGGAAGCTTAGTCATTCTAAATCGAAAGGAAATCTGGCCAATTACCTACTTTGTAAGACAGACAACGGAAATCGATTGATGCCCCCTTAAATAATGAATGAAATTCTTCATCTGTTTAAATTATAATAAAATGATCGATACGTGATAATTTACAATTGATTTCTCTTTACTAACACCCTTAATAAAACTTATAATAATGATTTTAATACAAACATAAGGTAAGAATTGTATTCAAATGCTTACTACTTTATCACGATTTCTTTTATAGTGTATAATTATCTGATGATCATCGATGCAGATTTATTGGCTTGGCAAATAAGAAGGGCCCAAAAAATGCCTTTTTTTCTTTTCCTTATAACTTTAAGAGAAAAGTAATACCGATTTATAAAGTATAATAATAGCAATAATGTCGAATTTGACCCATGAAAATGTTGGATATTTAATTTTTAATTACTTTCATCAGCTTTTTATTGACGTAGTTACTTACCTATTCACGAAATCGTGCCATCCCATTATAGTATTAACAATAGACACGAACGTAGTCTATCATTTTCCTGAAAATTACAAATTTAATGAAGTAAAATAAACATTAGATGAGAAAATATTCAAATTTTGTTTCTTAATAAGTAAATGAAAACATACTAATTACGTAAGAAATACTTTTTTATCGTGTTATTTAACTGCGATGTTGGCCCTATATAATAGACTCTATGGGAAGAAATTAATTCGATTATTATTTTAATATAAATCCAGTGGAGAAACTATAAAAGTTTTCTGGACACGAAACATTAAAATATATAATACTTTTTATGTTTTAAATTATACGTTATTTACCTGTAAAGTTTGGTTTAATGAAAGGTAATTATTATTTCCATTTCTTATGTAACTATATAAAACCTGAATCATTTGAAGAAAAACTACAATTTTATAGACAAATCTAAAACTTTTTATTTTAAAAGCTGTCAAATTCGAGCTAGAAGAAAAGAAAAGGACTCTTTCCCTGCATTCTTTTTTGATTTCACATTAATAATTTATACCTTTTAAATCTTCAGATTGGTCTGGGAGATATTAAGGTCGTTTGGCCATATCTTCCGAACTAACAGTCCGATTTTGCCGAAAATTTCTAGAAATATTTTCCCTTAAAATACAAACCGCCCTGCAAAATTTCAGAAATTTTCGACAAAAGGCGCAGGACTTATTAAGCTTCAAAGTGAGTGAAAAAATCTTGTCCCCCCCAGACACTACTAACATTCATATATACAAAAAAACCCTCCTAATTTTTTGACGTTTCATGAACCCCGAGTCCGAAAAATCTTGGGGAGGGTTCTTTTTTTGACCACTCGCTAAACTTTTCCGAGAAGGTAACATCCGACATCCGAGAAGGTAACAAAGTATTTATCATTTAGTGTCTTTCCTCGTATCATCAGTAGTTATAGACTATTGATGTTTAATATAAGCCCTGTCTTCGTTTAAATCATAAGCACTCGACATTTAAATTTATCAGTCTTTAGTGCTCGAGATTAATTAATAAAGCTCTTATATTTAAATTAAAACGAATTCTGTTTAATTCGAACTTCTAATCCAGAATCTAATTGAAAGACCCATCTTACCCAATAAATTGTTAAAGACAATCTTTCCTACCTAATAAGTTATTCATAGTAAAATACCCTTTAAAAAAGTATAAAAATCTTTTAATAATAGCTTACCCTCCACGTCACAGGAGAAAATTCCCTCCCCCCGCTAACTCTGACAACCTTCGCCCCCCTATTAGTCCGAGTTAGAGGGGGTTACCGTATACGTATTTGTAGTCCTTTTTTTTTACTTTCTGTTTAATGTAACTCCGCTAATCCGAACAATCCCGTTCGGGTTATACTATGTATACACTAATGTAAATAAAATTGTAACTAAAATATATTTATACTAAGCATTCATTAAAGAAGACTGGCCATTCGGTAAACAATAATTAAGATAAAATGTATTAACATCTATCAATTTGGAAAAAATTAATACTTTTTGCTGCATTTTCTCTAAGAGCGATACCATAAACGGAAGTTGGGCACGAGTTCACCCTCTTTGAAGCTTAATAATTCCTGTGCTTTTTGTGGAAGTTTTTTGAAATTTTGCAGAGAGGTTTGTTTATTAGGGTAATTGATTCTATTAAATTTTGGTGGTTAAAGGTCGAGGGAGTGAGGAGATAAAAGGGGTCTTGTGTATTTCCAGTATGGTCGGATTTAATGACGATTTTACTCGTTATTAGCATTTATAATGTTTTATAAAGCTCATCCTACCCTCAAAATGAAGCATTTTTTTTCGTTTTATAATAGTTAAAAATATAAAAAGTTTTTTAAAGTAAAATATAACAACAGATGTCGCCACCAAAATTTTAAATGTTGCCTGGAAAGTTGAGCAGCTCGTTGCTGGTTTATTTCTTTTATTGATCGAAAGAGAGTTTACTTTTTTTAGTACATAAGCAGGCCCGTGCACGGGATTTTTAAAAGAGGGAATGGAATAGGGTTTAAAAAAAACATTGTAAAGATTAATAAACCACGTTATAAAAAATTAATGTTATAGGCATTTTTTATTTTATTTTTTTCTAAATGGAGAGTTAAACTCCCAAAATTCTCCGTGTGCGCGACCTTGTACTAAGCAAAAGAAAAACTTAATTTACACAAAAGTAAAGACACGAGAGACTCTCGTGTTAAGCGGTTTTTATGAAATGCCATTAAATTCCCTCTAGAATCTCAGGCCATTTAAAGTAAAAGATATTTGTTACTGGCTTACGTTGGACGATCAATTTAAGCGCCATTTTCCTATTTTTAATTTTTTTTAATTAATTTGCTCATTATTTTAAATAAAAGCCTTGGACCACATAATCATGGGAATAACTAACGCGATTTATAAAGGAACGTTTTTTAAGTTATGGGGTATGCTTTCTTAGAGGAGATGCAAAGAGAATACAGAGAGGTATAAGGTGATTTTCAGAGGAGATGCAAAGAGAATACAGAGAAGTATAGGGTGATTCTCAGAGGAGATGCAAAGAGAATACAGAGAGGTATAGGGTGATTCTCAGAGGAGATGCAAAGAGCATACAGAGAGGTATAGGGTGATTCTCAGAGGAGATGCAAAGAGAATACATAGAGGTATAGGGTGATTCTCAGAGGAGATACAGAGAGAATACAGAGCAGGTACAAGGTGCTTCTCATAAATATTTTTGTCGTATTTGTTTTCTTAAATTTTGTCTAAAATTTTAATTTGGGGAAAGATGGAAATGCGAATCGTAAATTTACTTTCGGAGAGATATGTGAGAGTAAAAAGATTAATTCTACAAAGGTTATGTCGTTATTAATTAATATGTCATTATTATTAATAATTTATAAAATATTCCTCATTTATTACTACTTATTAATAATCAGATTATTGTAATATAATCCTATCAATATACTGCATTAATAACTAGTGACGCTTTATAATAAATAATAGGCTAAATTTTTGTTAAAATTTTTAATTTAATATTTTTATTACTTAATTTTCGTTTTATAATTTTTTGTTTAATATTATTTAAAATAAGATTATCTTAAAATTAAAAGTTTTAGCCGTTCTATTGTTCTAA